TTTGGGGGAGGGGGGGGGGGGGGGGGGGGGGGAGTGTAGACAAGAGGCGTGTGGTTGGGGTGAAGATAATAGGATTATTCTTACAGTATAATAGTAATGATTGGTGCTAATGTTAGGCAAGCCTGTAAGATAACACGAGAGGAGAGAGTGGATGGCGAAACCACTGCTGGCAGTTCTTTTCATATGAAAGTCAATAGGGAGAAAGTAGATGAAAATTAGTCGTGAGTTTTCGTCCCCAAGCAAGAGTAAGATTGTGAAGGATATGAGGCTCCTGTGAATAGTTACACTTAAAAACAAAACAAAACTTTGCATGTTCTTTTACACACCTGGGAATGTGACAGAGAATAGAGGTGGTGTGGGAGAACAAACCCGGCTACCACTTTGTGTGTTTTAAGTCTATTTTATTGTTGTTGTTGTTGGTTGTATGGTATTGTTGATATTTTTATGGCGATTCTTAGCCTTGTCTTTGCTACCTGGCGCGAGGAGGTGGGTTTTGGAGCGCTGGGATTTGCACAACCGATTTGGCCTCAAGCGCCCACTCGCAGGTGCCAGGGCATCAGCTTTGTGGCCACAGCTTGTCTGTGGGGGGAAAAAGGCAATGTGCATTGTTGAATGACAAAGGAAATGGGGCGGAAAATTAAAGAATCTTTCTACAATGGTGATGGGGACGCGGGCACCCACAGCTGTGATGTGAAATCCAAAGAGGCCAGGAGCTCATGACTGCAGGGCTATTTCCACCCTTCCCCTGTGCCCCTCCAAAATACATTTCTGCTTCTTTTCTTTGCATCAGGGAGGGGATATTAGCTTCTTCCTATCATCTGGTTATTGACGAGAGGGGGCAGATTGAGAAATACTGATTGCAGTCTTTCTTGGGGACAAAAAAAAATCAGCTTCCAATTTGCTCTCCAAGATACTGTGTCTGGACCCGAGCCGTGAGCGTCTCCATATGTAGAGACAGGTATTTCTAAAGCTGCCGTGACTTTGTTTTGCACGAACTTGACATTGTGTTTGCAGGATTGCAGTGCTCCCAAGGAAATGAATAAGCAGCCAGCCAGCAGCCCGGAGGCGGCGGCGGCGCCGGGCCACGCGGACGGCCCCCGCGCGCCCAGGACGAGCCCGGAACAGGAGCTGCCC